CTTGCTCATATTGATAATGTGGGAAATGTCCCGTTTGGCCTGGTCACAAGCCCCGAGAAGACTCCTTGGGCATCTCTGGGGCTTTCATTGCATCGCGTTTTCTCTCATCGGTACCCATTATTCATTGACGTGCTCCTGATAGCGGGAATCGTCACTAAGAAAGAATACACGATATACCTCAATACTACCGGCTTTGGTCGTCTTATCTTTGGTGGTGATTATCCAATGAGACAGGACGGTCCGTTGAGGTACGTCTCGACTTGGCTAAGTGGCCTGGGCCCGCCAGCCATTGACATGATGGGCTTTCTCGTCGGGGATGACTGCGTGGATGAAGTTCCCATGGATTCTGCTGCCTTTTTGGCCACTGGCTTGGGTTATATACAGATAGCAGATTCTTTAAAGCAGCCGGTATTGAAGTTGCTCGAGAATGCCGGAGTGAAACATGTGGCTATCAGGGAGGAGTCCGGCGTCTTCAAGGTCGACTGTGAGGATATTGAGTACTTGCCATCTATTACTCTTTTTCTCAAGGGTTTGAATGGTAGGAAAACTCCTCTCGTGATTTCTCCAAATAGTTTGAGGACCAAACTCGTAGATGGGCAGTGCGCGCTGGCCTTGACTTTCGGTGAATTGTGGTATCTTGGACTGCCTGCGGTCATTGGCAAGTATTTCAAAGTGAACGAAACACATATCGGATTCACTAAGGCGACTTGTGCCTGAAACCTTTCATGATTTCAATCGTCGCGGTCTTTTTCATCTGCGGATATGTTTCCCAGTCTTCAAAACATTCTTTCTGCTCGTCTCCTTTTGCTACGACTTCTTGGTCCTTGTCCCCAAAGTTTCCCCTTGGTCGTTGTCTCGCTTATCCCATTGTATGAGTCTCATAGATTATGTTATGAATCCAGTCATTTTGGTCTTTATTTTCTCACCCTCCAGATTATCTCTTGCTTGGCACTGTGTTTAGTCTCGGTCAACATAACTTCGACACGACAACAGTATAATGGCACCATAGTGTATCCGTTAGTCAGCGTAGGCCATGTCGAAACTTTAGCCTAGTAATATGATAATAAGACTGTGAGGACAACGAGCAATTCCACTAAGATACCTGACGTGTCATACTGAGCAAGAATTGGTGTCCAACCATGCAGATAACTTATCTCAGATAGTTGTATAAGATAGTCGATCGAATGGTAGGTGATGAAGCGAGGCTAGTATGGTGAAGCTAAGAATAAAGGTATATATTCAACATCGGAGTCAATAGCAATGGTTGAGCAACGGTTCGGCAATATCGCTCAGGTTCGCTACCGATGAAATAAATGCGCACAAGAGGTGGGGATCTCACCTCGTCTTTCATCGTGATGATCCTCTCATGAGACACTCCTTCTTCAAGTTGTAGCATATCTTGGGACCGCTACTGTAGAGGCCCTTCTGGAGAGGCTGCATCCGTATTTCAATTATGATGATCATGCGCCATCTGATTCCTAGTTAATGTCGACTATGCTCATCCATTCTTCGTCCTTGATTGTGGCATACATAAACGCGAAATAGGCCTTCAAAAGGTGTTGCGACCAACCTAGAGACCGATCTTAGGAATAGTACACTTCGGACGACCCTCCGTATAGCTCACGCTAGCAGGTACGCTTACTATAGATGTAGAAAAGAGGGATAACACCCACACAATGGCCAGAGCCGTTGTTAAGCGAAAGAAGCACAGTTGCCATGGTATACGAAGGCGGTCGATGTTCTACTTGTGAAAACCTGAGTGGCTACAGAGATACTTTCAGGCTTCTCCGTGAACTAATTGTATAGCAGTAGCAGCTCCATGAGTTTCATAATCAACGACCGTCGTTGAGTTCCGTAGTGTGAAGCTCAACTTCAACATGAAACAGGTGATCGAATTACCCAACATTGAAACAAGCTCTCATTGAAGTACGATCGATAGTTGTGCTCCGCCACGCTTACGATTACGCCACTTTTGTACTAATCCACTTTTGTACCAAATCAAGTAGCGCTCGCCCCTATTTTAAAAACTTCCCTTCGGGAAGCGCTTCGCTCCGCGAACCACTTCTGTGCTAAAATCGTTCCTTTTGTGGAAAATTTGACCCAGTTGATTGAGCTTGTACCACTCTCAAACCACTTCTGAACCAAATAAAATAGCGCTCGCCTTAGAACAAAAATAGCAAATAGTTGATCGAATAGCTCTCCCGGAGAGCCTCTCCGTCAGGTCGAAAACAGAGTAGAGGTCCTGACTCAAGGAAGTACTAATCCTGATGACATCGTGGATATGTGGATGGCTATGCTCTGTCGGCAGGGTGGGGTTACAGCTGCTCGAGGCGTATTGGTGGGAACAACTCACTTCGGCTTCTTGCGGGTCCCTGATAGCATCCTGAAAGGCCGTGAGCTCTATCTCCAATCCGTTCTGGATCCGACATGTGGACACTATGCCGCATCTGGCGTTGTGGATGGTCAGGTGAATTTTATGGACAGTATGAATATGTCGGTCCCGTCTTCGGGTTTTTTGTACAAGCCCTACGCCAGCTGTATGGTTCAAAACGTGTACTTAATGCTTCGGCCCAACAGCAGAGTTACGGGAGTAATTTATGCGGAGTTCTTGTTATTGCTAGACTTACTGTGGTTGTTTTTAACCGCCAGCCGTTTCGTCTTTCGCTGTTCGATGAAGCTAGTATGAGATACCATTCGGCTGCATGCATTACTAGGAAAGAAATTAGCAGGTTTCGGGAAATCTTTCCCGCGCTAGCTAGCATGTTATTCTCACCTGAAGGGGAATTCAATACCTGAGTTTAAAGCTTTTATGAAAGTCCTAAGAGTGTAGTTGTCAATCAAATATTCCTCAAATGATTCCTTAATACCGGACGACGATGATAAGCGTTCATTGATCACCCAACTAGCTATGTCTGCACCCTTATCAGAACTCTTGCCGCTATGTATCATAACCACAGTTAGTAGTGAACATAATGCCTAATCTATTGATGATTTCCGAAACCATACCTTTGACTACGTTACTTAACGTACGAAGTATAACCAATAGCAGCTGGTAAACCTCAACACAGTGTACTAACTCAAGCTGTAGCCTAAGTCCCAGGCCAGTAAGAATCAGAAGCTTAACTCACTTCTGTCCTCAGTCTAACCTTTAAGAGCACTAGGCAAGTGCTCGAGCAAGGCCTCAGCACGCATGCAGAAATACGTGACGCCACCGCTGTCACGGCGCACAATACAATAACAGTAATAACACAGTAATACAGCCAAATATAAACACCGCGAAGCCGTATAATGGTTCATGAGTCTCCGTACACTGCGCTGGAGTGCACAACGGCCCGTAATAATTACGACATAATTTAGGAGTCTACACTTGTAGACTACAAGGAATGAGGTTATACGTTGAGACTTGTTAAATTGCGACATGAATACTCTTAGGTAGACGCAGGACTGTCCTTAACTCCCCCTCGCGGTGAGGGCTTCACTCACAGTAGCGGAAGGCAGGTCGTTTTAAGACGTGTGAAAAAACCCAAGTCGTAAAATTTAACTCGTGCGAAAGCATCCCAAGAATTTAGTACAGAAGTGGAAGTAAAGTTTTACACGGTGTCAAAAATTTCTTTACCGGAAAAAATAAAGTGAGTAAAAACGTGCAGAATTTGGTACAACAGTGGACATTTTACCCACTACAAAACTCAATCGTTTGCGTGCGAAAAAGTCCTGATCCGGTATAAATCGCTCACCTATCATCGTTTAGTACAAAAGTGGTTTAGTACAGAAGTGGAGACACGCTTACAACACAAATGTTTCCAACACCATGAATGAGCATTTTACACACATGGACATCATGATTGTCGGGCAGCTCGCTTGGCTTGAGACAAAGTGTTGAGGTCTTCGGCGTGGCGCTGTAGGTCATGTTCGAGCTGAAGGAGCTCGTTCCTCTGAGCTGAGGATAGACAGAATCACAGAGAATGGGCGCAACTATCGCAAACTAGCATCACCGAGAGTTATACCACCGAGTGTTTCCCGATCCTAACATACCAATGGACCAGCAATACTGCGTCTACGGGATTATGAAAGGGCGTATTCCTCATATAACTACTGTAACAAGAGAAGAGGGCAGTGAGGCGTGAGAGACCTATCCAGTCAAAAATAGAACATGGATTGCAGAGTGGTGTTATATATGAATGTTATATATGGCGATATATATGAATATAAGCAGGGGAGAGTTTGGGTGACGCAATGTTACCTGTTATCCTTTTGAGTCGATTGCGGGCTGCTTGAGTTCCCGCGGGAGGGGCTGGTCTCTTGCATTCAACTTCAACTGTACCCGATAGTTGCAATATTCGCTCTTCTCTCGCCTTCATCTCTTTCTTCAGTTCGTTGAACTGACCCGGCATCGATACAGCGTTGTTTTCTCTCCCCCTCTCGACGACATATTTGCGCGAGGGTACTTTAGCGACTTGTTCCACCACATTCCATCAAGTGACCGAAAGACTCTATGCAGGGATCGTTTACAACCCCCATGTCTCCCGGCTCGCCCCAGAAAGTATATTCAATCGTATTTCAATAAGAAATCCCGGAGGAGCTCTGATGATGCTGAGCAACAACACTGGATGGTCACTAAACGATAGCGAGGCTTTGTGCCAGGGTCACTACGCTGAGGAAGCGAGCAGTCATAAAATCTCACCATGCGATCTGGCTCTGTGTTGGCACCGTTGCTCTTCATCTCACCTCCTGTACAATCAAAGCCAATACTCAACATATAGACGATGAGTCACGGCCTACCAGCTCTTGCCCTCGCAGCTCCTACCAGGGAGACTTTTGGCAAGCCTAAAGGCCCACCTGCAAACTGGTTAAGCTCAGCAAGACGATCTTTCTCGGCCTCAACATTGCGGCCAGGAGGGAGTATGATATCAACAGGCCTACGCCTTTTGATGACCACTTTCGTGGAGGTTGCCGCCAACCTCGACTTCTTTATTTCCTCTTCGATGCTTTTCTGGCTTTTCACGCCTCTTCTCGATGGGAGCTCCTCTGACGGTCCCTTCGATCCTCGCCCACCAACACGAGGAACTTGAACCCGCGGCTGAGGGTCCGCACAGCTTCACACTCAAGCTGAACTCGCGGTCACACTTTCGGCTTTGGCGCGGCCGAGACCTGTGGTGCTTTTCTCTGCATTGTCTTAACAGGGGGGTACTTGATCGAATGATGAGCATTTTGCTGGTCTGCAGAACCTTCCAATAACTCACAGTGAATACATTGCTCAGTGAAGGCTTGCTTACCGTACAACGCGCGAAGGTATCTGCCAGCTTCAGTATTGGTGCCGAATTCTTTCCAAAGTCGCCGACACGCCTCGGGCGGTTCATAATTCGGCGAGCGATTGTTTACCATATCCCACAGAGAAGCAGAGTCCCTAGTCGGAACTATATTTTCACAACCAGAGTCAGTTGATGAACTATTTGCCTCGTCCTAGTTCCCGAGCCAGGCAGTGCTGCAATGACTAACACAACAAGATTCTACTGGGAAGTCTCGTCAGTATTGAAAATATTGATATCGAGACGGTCATGCACACTCGGCCGGACCGAGTGATGATAATGTTACTCTGCCATCGTCAGTGCGGTGACTATGGTGAATTACACTGCCTAGGCTTCTATCGTAAGGTGTCGTCCATTGGACTGGGCCGTATCCGACGGCAGCCTTCGCAGTAAAGACCTCCCGGGGAGTCGTACGGGCACTGCGGGCTGGGGCGGTATTCTGCTAGTTGCAAGTAGCGGTCGATCTGTCGGCTGGCAGGTTCGGTGTCTCTTCAGTAAAGGGCCTTGACGAACAAGGCAAGGCCTGACGGATGGGCAACTCAGATCGGACACCTTGTCACGCTTCAACTTACGCGCTTTGGACACTCGTTGGTGATGCGGCCACCTCACTCCTCGTCTCCACAGGTCGAGGACGCTTTAATGGTAGTCTCCTAGGTTCCACCTTGAGCCTACGAACAAACCTCCCACACACAAAACTACTCGGTTCGCCCTACCGCTTGGCTCGAGGCTCTGAGTCCTGTGATGATGACGAGGCCTCATCACTGGAGTGGCTACCCATTTCGCGGTCACTCGACTCCGAATCAAGAGACATGCCATCGGCTGCAGAACTATCGTCCACTTCCTCCGAGACCATTCGAGTGACCATATCTGACCAATTGCGAATACTGCTATATTGGAGCATGCACTGAGCTGACCTTCGAATGGGTCCTCCCCTTTAAGCCAGGACAGCTCCATGTGCATTTTCACCACTGTCCGCGGAGTCAACATGCCTGCTTCACTTTTGACATACACCAGCTGCCGCAGTACTTCAAGAAGCCTCTCCGATAAGTTTTCATCCACCATAGTAGTCACATCGTCACCAGCCGACCGGACCACTAGTCGAGCCAAGACCGCACACGCCATACGACCACTAGCACGAGCAGCGTCAACGTCATCATTACTGCTGAAATGCTCCGTGTACAGGTCCATGAACCTCATTCGGAGGCCCTCGTGGAACTGTGTCAAGTTGACGTCATCACAGGCAAGGAGAGTAGCTGACTCCACCATGAGAGAGTAAGGAGACCTCTCACACAGTGCGATTTCTACAAGGGGTCGCACACACTCGGCCAGACTCGCGCCGGTTTCACGCAGTTCCCGTAGAATATCAATGGTCACCTCCACCCTGCTGGTATAAAGACTCGGCGACAGTCGGGCGATCAGAGGCTGCACTAGCCCTGCTTGAGGTACTGTCGCAGACTTTCCTATGAGACCTCTAAGAAGGGATATGCCGTGAGTCCTGAATCCCGAGTCAGTCACCCTGGGACCTCCCAGAAGTTCCAGGATCTTATTCACCAAGTTTTCCGACAACTTTCTCGTCACTTTTGGCACGGCATTGAGTAGAACAGTGAAGGCGAGGTTACCAGAGTTGACCTTTCCCCCACCACCGGGCAAGTGGATGTCACCTCGCTCAAGGATCTGGCCCAGTCGGGAGGGTTGGGACTCGCTAGCCGAAGAGCGCCCATGCTGTCGCACAAGGAGATGTGTGAGATTCGAGGAGCGGCGGTCAGTCTTGAGACCACCAGTGAGAGCCAGGCCGCCCACAGTATCCAGCATGCCACAGTCGTTCATTGCATCGCAGTTGTGAAGGGCGAGCAATGCTGCGGCCGCCAGAAAGAGTCGCTGCTCTACGGTATCGTGAGGCGCCAGAGACAGACGTAGTGCTAACTTCCTCACAACTGTCGATTTCACCACCCTTCGCTCGGACGGCAGCTGAGCCACGCACTCTACAATAGTGATGTTGGGATCACTGCAAAGGAGCTGTATGAGGTCGCTCACTGACTTGTTGCTCATTGGCTTCAATGGGAAAAGGCGCGGGTTGCCATAAAACCAAAGGCAAGAGTGAGACCCTCTCTGTGTAGAAAGACTTCTGCCTCCTCACAAGGCAAGGCCAATTTCGTTGGAAACCACAACTATACCGTATTGACGTTGTTAGGGAAGGCGTTCAATCACTGTCAGAATCGTCAAAGGTCAGTCTAGCGCCTTCGAACTTGGTAAGAGTACCTCGCTGAGAGGGAGCGGCCTTAGCAGCCCAAGACGGATGGTTTGACGGCGCTTCAAGCTGCTTCCGTGTGGGAGTCTGAGGGGAAGCGGCACTTAATTTTACGCTACCCGACTGGCAATTCTAGGAAAACTATGTAACAAAATTTTCGAAGGAATCACTTGAGTACCGGGATAGTGGTGAAGATCACGTCCTCCTTGCTCTATGGAATCTCTGGACACGAAGGGATCGTACTGTTGCGAGATGTGAGACAACTAAATCGGCGACCAGAATCAGCATTAGCAAATTTTAGATTCAAATTCAGAGAGAAGCGAGAAAAAATTGATCAGAACTAGCGATAAAAACATTGACAGGGAATCTGAGAAAATTTCAACCTCGGCCCTCGGAAACCACAGCTACTACCGGTTCCTTTTTCGACTTCACTTGGGCAGGTGGCCCACCCTCCTCATCGGAACCCTTCCGCTCCTAAAAACAGCTCTGCGGACTGGTGGTTCTAACGTGACCGTCCGGTCAATGAAAAGAGTGCTACAATTCACTACGACTGATTCACTCAACCCTTCTACCTTAGCCTTGGAGATCTCCGTGGGCTCCTTACTCGACCATGACCGTTTGGCTCCACGACCTTTCCCAGCACCCTTGGCTGACGTTACGTCTCGACCCTTTCCTTTTCCCTTCCCCTTGCCTTTTCCTTTACTAGACCGGCGATCATCTTGCCTCACAGGAACCTATCAGCGAGGAATAATTAACCACTTGACGATTTGAATAACAAATACCCCTCCAGAACCTACATCATTCGCATCCCCATCTGCGAAAAAGTCGTCCACAGCCTCACGCGGTTCCACGACCTCCTTGGTTTCCCGCTTCTCCACGGTACGCTCCTCGATCTCCTTTTGGCTCTCCAGTCGATTTCGTATAGACTCCCGAATCGACTTCTGCTTCGTCAACTCGCGGGGCTTCAACGCGCCCCCCTTCGGGAACAGCGATATGTACTTTTCGCCGTGCGGGTAGAATTTGATGTACTGCAGGTCCTCAAGCAAGGCGTTCATCCGGTCCTGAATTTCCTTCGGATCAGCCTCAGACTTTCCTTGAATACACTCGGCCAATTCTCGACGACAAGTTTTGAGTTTCCGCTCAACTTTCTGCCGCTCCACGAAACGCACATATTTGTACTTCTCGAAGAGTTTCTCTTCCGCTTCCGTCGACGGTCGCCCCTTCGGCCGGCCCGCCTTCTGGTCCATTAAGATTGAGTAACGCAAACCTGACCGCTTACATACTCCATACGGGCCAGCACAGTGTTGGAATTTACGCTTGGATTCCCCAGCTGAGTTCAGAAGTTTCTCCACCACATTATGGAGATCTAGACACGATTTAGGACAGAAGTATATGAAATTTCCTCAGGATTTCACACGTAGTTGGTCATATGCATATTTCCTCACACTCCTTTCGTGTGTTGAATGCTGAAGGTAGTCGAATTTCTCCGGTCTCCCGGGCACCCACCAGCCACTGTCTGAGCCTACGAGGTCCGGTATTAGAATAGGCGATCACTAGATGTCAAATACCCCAACAAAAAGCCGAACTCAAGCAACTAAGAGAACGCTCCAGGTCGAGATACAAGTATGCCTGTTAGTAGGCAGAGGTACTCATGTTGACCATCAACCGGCCAAGAACTCATCCGAGGGAGCAATAAGATGCACGTAATGCAGCGAAAGCTCAAAATGCCTCAGAGCTCGCCCCAAATCGTGTGATCACAGTGTTACCGCCGAGCGCCCACAGGCGAGGAGCTTACAAATCGCCGTAGGAGTCCAGCTGGGCAGGTATCAGTATTGTTAAATTCTGGATGAAAGCCAGGAAGCCCTTTTTATCGTCTGGAAACGAAGGAGTGGCTGGAGCGTTTCGCAGAAGCAACTCTAGCAGTCAGAGCTATAGGCATCAGAAAGCGTGGTCTGCCTGCGTAAATAGAACAGTGAACATCGCTGTCTATGCGTGCAGAATACCTGTGATTTTGTGATCACCCGATTGTCCCATTTGGTAGCCGTCCCAACACACAAGCGCTTTATCTTCAGCATCCTGGCGTGACTACACATAAACAGGTCTGCACGGCAAAATACAATGACACACTCAGTTTGAAGACGTATAATCTCAAATTGTAACGACGAAAAGAAGACTCCAAGCAGTGGACGGCGAAGCTCTCTGGGAGATGTGGCGACTGAGAGTAGGCGTATGGCTAACTCTCTCTACTGTGGGCATAGTCCCAAAAATGATCAAGATGGTTGATGCCAAATTGTCATCAGTACTGAATATCTTACAGCAACCTCGAAGCTGATCTCACAGGTGAAGGCTTGGACAAACTTCAAAGCGAGAAGGACTGTGTTGTCGCTTGGGGAGCTCTGGGAATAACCTCTCGTGTGATCGTCGCTCGAAAGGATGTTCCTCCTATCGAAAAGTTGTGTCAAACAGTGTTCGGCAGTTAGTACGCTTAATGGTCGCTTTCGCAGCACCGGTTTTCTAGCTGCTAATGATTCTTGTCGAGGTAAATACACACGGGCTGTGTGACACAGTCTGTGTCGAGAATTGAGCTCGGAACCTCTCGCATATAGAGCGGGAATCATACCACTAGACTACAAAGGCTATGAACATAACATATCATAGCGGCTGGTAGAGGGACCTCCTCCAGTCTCTATCTGTATCTGTGCCACCGGCCCAGATGAGCTTTTCCTCTCTCTCCGCTTCGACCGTTCTTATCGGAACCATCGAGAAGCACTCAAGTGACGGAGATGTGTATCACATCCTTGGCAGAATTCAAGGATGCGGGTCGGAGAAATCCCTGACGATTTGAATCCTATTCTGTAGAGAAACTACCCGTGACGGAACCGAACAAACTCCCCAGACACTTCTACAGAAAGCCAAAGCGCAGCGCAAGGCTTGTGCCATAAGCATCCACCGTGAGTCCGTAACACCTGGCTTCGCGCGTCAACAGTGTTCTGAATCAGAATTTTTGATCAAGTCCCAAGAAGAATGAGGGACGGTGGTAAATTCAAGATTTACCGCGCCACCGCAACCGATGGTATGTACAAGCTTTCTGTCCAACGGACTGTGGAAGACGGGCGCAGCTGGATGGAAATTGAATCTCATCGGCGATAGATGTGGTGGCAAGACGTGAGTCTTGTTATTACGAGTAACTCATCCGTAAAACAACTTTATTGAAACCTGCAAAATACGCGGGTGCAAGCGAGAAGTTTAGTGCAGAAACCTTCGTCACTCTTTAGTGGTTTGAAAAAAGGAAATTCTCAACGACGCAACGAGGGACTCGCAGGGCGACGATGCTCCTTGCAAAACTGTAGGGCTACGAATTTCGTGGTTGGTGATGAGTGGCTCCGTGGCACGGAGCAGTAGAATGCAAGACAGCAAGCATGATTATAGGACACGAATTCTGGTCCCGAGTGATGTCGTCTCTACTGTGTGGAAGTCTTGACTAACATCGAGTTGTTTTGTTCACACTTGATTCATGATCGGCACAACGCTGTTGGTGGTAGAGATTTCACCTGTGATGTTCCGACGACCGAACCTGCCATTGATACTGCTCCTCTGTCTCTTATCCCTCAACCTCTTAACGTAAGTCAACACTTTCCAATGTCTCGCTACTCATTCGCTCCTGGTCCAGCTTGGAGAGGTGTGGGTCCAAACAGGAGACACAAAGTGACATGTCATCTGAAGGACCCGACGCTGGGGTCGTCAGTTTGAGTTCATCTTCTAGCTCGTCCAGAACGAGTATGAGCAAGAAATGGAGCTGCATGGCGAGATGTTTTACTGACACCAAGAGCCCCCCCGAGCGCTAGGTTCCTGGCACCCCTGGTGACAATGTACAGAGTTGCGATGCCAACGCCGGGCTATATCACCTCATAGTTAAACGGATCAAGCGAGGTGGGCAGAACAGCTATGAAGTCACCGTGTTGGGGAGGAAGTGTGGCAGTGACGTGTGGGCTTTTACAGGCTCCTCAGTGTGACGAGTTATCTCCGCGTTTACGGTTCCGGAGACTCCTTTAAACGCAGAGAATACCGCGAAATTACAGGAGGATAACATCTCTTGTGCGAAGGTCTGGGAGGCTCTCGGAGTTGCCACTGCTACTCCTACAAAAGACACCCTATCCGATAGGTGCTCGAAGCTCAAGTCAGGGCAATTGTAGATGTGTGGATGTCCATGTTCCGTGTGAATTTGCGTGCACTGAAGATGTCTACATGTCCATGAATTGGCTTTTTAAAGTGAAGTACTTGCGTTAAAGTTGTTGGGACTTCGCGGGTTCAAGACGAATCACATGCGAACAACAACTAACCCATCAACCTGCAATTTACCATCAGTCTCGCCATCCTAATGGAGTTTTGTGTGGACCTTCTGAGGTTCGTCAACACGATCCCTCCACATGAGCACAAAACAGATTCGAGCCACTCTATTCTGGAGCTGCGAACAATGACTATCTTGAGCTGTGTACCATTAACTGAGCGGCGCAAATGAGGTGATCTTAGCAAGAGCTTGAACTACTCGTTGGATTAGGACATAGGGACAGGCATCGAGCATGATGTACCATTGAGTAGTGAGGATTGTGAACAGCGAACAAAGTTGAACTGGAAGAGGCTCCACGCTACACAAGCCTTCTAGCCTCGCGAGACTACACGGTAGGGAGCTATCATACTGTAGGGCAATCAGTAGCCATTAGGTGAATCGAGTCCGCGAACTGTTGAGAAACTGGAGGCTACATTTGTGTGGCTTTGGGTCACCCAACTTGGGGGGGCGAGATTTCTGTTGGAATATATGGGGGGTTGTAAACTTTCCGAGTCAATTTTCTGAGGCTTTCTTAATAGGGAACATACGCTAGTTGAAAAATGGCCGTCACCACTCTACCTTCCCGAAGCGTGAGTGAGATCAGCGATGTCTTTAAAGCGAAGAAATCGTCCGCGCGGATTGAGTTTACTCAAGACGTGACCTCTGACGTGAGGGAGCTGAACGTTGCCCTGTTGCAAGCAGTAGAGAGCGGGAAGTTGAAGACTGTGGCTTCTCTCGTACACCCAAAGAAGGAGTCCGCCCTCTGCGCCAACGCCAATGCAACCAACGAGGTGCCTATCGTCGCGATACCTACACGGAGCATTGGACGTCTTGTGTCAGGACGGTTGGAGCGCTCTTCACATGGCGGCCGGGCAAGGTTCGGTGAAGATCGTGAAGTGCCTCTTACAATATGGAGCGGATCCTAACATAGCGAACATGGTAGGTCACTGATGTTATTCTCGGTTTGGGAATTGCTCGTGAATTTCAGCATTAGTTCATCAACCTCGAGGCCACAGTAGCCCGAATTTCAAGATTGACCGATTGCACATCTCTTTCAGGTAGGAATGCGGCCACTGCATGTGGCGTGTAGGGATGATCAATTGGAGGTCGTCAAGTGCCTGGTTGGTCACGGTGCTGTCATCGAGTGCTGTGCTAGCGTCAACTACTGCGGAGGCTCGAAGGTAGGCCACTGTTGTCTCCGCCGCTAAAGAGCCTAGTTGTCAGGGAGGATGGACTCCTTTACATTTCGCTGCTTTCAATGGTCATGTGGCGATCGCCAAATATTTGCTCGAGAACGGAGCCGATCCAAATGCCCAAAGCACGGTTAGTGCTCACCTCTAGTTCCTGGAAGCACCCCGATGCATTTCAGGACGGCGAGACACCTTTGCACCTCGCCGTATGTCACTGCAATACGAAGAAGTCCACCAAATATCGGCTAGACACCATTCGGGTGCTGCTGGGATTCGGAGCAGATCCTTCTCTAAAGTGCACCCGGCCAACGGCCTATGATCTAACGAGCCCTGAGAAACGATTGCCGTACGTGAATGAAGGGTCTTGCCCGGACATGAACCTCTATCTCAGGGTCGGAAGTACTATGCTTCACGCAGCAGGCCGACGGGGCCAGAAGGATGTTTTCAAGCTGGTGAGTTCACTGGCAGTCGTAGTCACAATAAGAGACGTCAATTTTTAGCTTGCCGAAGAGCTGGGCCCGCAACCGGACGACATAGAGCCTGCGATTATCGAGCAAAAGATCTCACGTAAGTTCAACGCTTCTCTATGGACTTTAAATAGGGAACTCTGGAGTTGATAATTTCCAAGGCATTCCATAATTCCCGATCGATGGGTCATGATTTGTCGTATTCTTTCAGGCGTCGGATATCTATTTTCCATAAGCGACGGCGAAGGGAATAAGCCGACCTACTTCTTCTGATTTTAAACTCAATCCTCAGTAGAAACCGATTTGTACACATGTCGTGTAGAATTTCCACCTCCCCTAATCGTCTGATGTTCCTTACTTTGTTGGAGAGGCTTGTTCAATGGCCCATAGGAACGACGAGGGGCAATCTCACCTTCTGTTTCTCATCATCGCACTACTACTGTAGCGTTGGTATGTCCGATGTCAATATGTGAAATGTTGATGAGCAATGAGTTGCGTGCCGGGATCTAACCTGGGACCTTCGGCTGTAAAGGCCATAACAGGAAAACCCTGTGTCCCATGTTCGACGGAGGGTGTGTTTAAAGCCTTGGAGTTGGCGGGCTCGCGGGCCGCCGTTACCCAAGGACCAGTTCAACCAGGTTAGTTGAACTAGTTACGCATGGGTTCCCCAAAAATTGATGAACGCGGTGTAACGGTTTGACTGGGCTCCGCCTCATGAACGCGACTTTCAGAAGATATGATCAAGTCTCAAGTCAATAACTAAGTCCTGAGAGAATAATATCGTCTTGCTACTAAGTCAGCGGGCATCTTT